CCCCCCCCCCCCCCCCCCCCGCCTCTCCCTCAGGAGGTGTTGGGCAGCAGATGGGAGGTGATGGAACTGTGTGGTAGTGTAGGCGGTGACATGACAAGCTGTCAGGCCCTAATGCAGGCTAACATCTGGAGGTTGTTGGCCACGTCACTTCTTGCCTGCCGGCGGGGTCCTCTAGCCCGGGGCCAAGAGCCACCCTGAGGGACATACACCCAGGGCCAAACCTGGGCCTCTGAGACAGGAAGCAGCAGCAATAATGGTGTGTGTAGAGCTGGAGTACGGTGGAAGTAAAAGCAAAAAGTCAAGCTCGTGTTGAGGGTAATGTTGACTGAGCGGCAGCACATACTGTCAGAGTGGAAACCAGTGTGCATGCAGGGCTAAACATCTAGCAGGGAAATGAATGTGAAAATAACTGCATGGCTCTGAAAGACATCTTTCTCAGTGCATTTATCACAGTTATCAGCTGCGACAAAAACTACAAATAGACCATTATAAGTCATCCTCTGTGAGTGGGCGGTGCAGACGCGACTACATGCACAGCAGGATACTGCAGGGCCCGTTAAAACCGTTGAGGCACTGTGCTATTAGCGCCTCATCCTCGCCTTGAGCATCCAAGAAGCAAGTGCCTCTTCTTTTTTTAATGACAGCCCTCACCCAGAGGTAATTTCACTGTGATTAAGGCAGGAGGGGAAAAAATAAATCATCTCTTGAAAGTCTCTAAATGGCATCTTATTTATCCACCTTTTAACTAACTGCTGAAGGCAGACGGACAATGGCGCTGCATGTTTCTCTCCTGGTGAATAATTATACTTCAAGCATTATATGGTCCTTCATTATGTGGGTATTAAAGATGGCACAGAGGAGATGACACAAAAGTTTTGATGGCAACGTTTAGAGACAATAAATTGCACATATTTTTTTAAAACCACCTGCCCGATGCAAATATGCCTCTCTCTGCTTTTAATTTTTACACTTTCTACTGATATCAAAGGATCTAAGCTTCCTCAAGAAGAAAAGTCTTGACTGAGCCTTTTTAAATACAGCATCAGTTATTTTTCCAGTTTAATTTACTGTCCAGATTGACCACGAGATATTTATATGACTGGACAATTTCTATCTGCTGACCCGCAATTATCACTGGGGAGACCTCCTCCTTCTTCCTTCTGAAAGCAATAATCAACTCTTTTTAAAACGTTTCATCACACCAGCTGACAAAAGATTCAACCTCCCATTTATAGGCCAGGTCATTGCCAGGTCAGTGTCATCTGAGAACTTTTGGATGTTACAGGACACATGGCTCTGCCTATAGTCCCCCTACCTATGCTGATATGCATAAATAACATGGTGAACATTATACACGCTAAACTTTATGTCCCAAGGAAGAGTACTGGGCTTTGAAGCACATAGTGGCCAAACAGTGGAATTACAACCTCCGGGTCTGGCACGTGATGCAATTTGGCCCAATAATATTTTTTCCCATAGACTTACATTGGGAAAGGGTCATCTGCAAATTGCAAAATTTGCAGATGCAAATTTTTTTTAAGGGTAAATCAACTTCCCGATACAAAACCCTTAAATATCCCAATGAGGTCTTAAAAGTATCAACCAAACACACTGTTATTCTCCTTCTCTGTTCATGTGAATGAGCCGAGATCGAGGGGCTGGGAGGCGGGGTTAAAGGAAATGCTAGTCTGCCCACAGATGTGTAAGGATGTTGGAAAATGCAGGTAATTTTATCTGAATTTTATACTCTGAAATCAAACTTTTTTTTTTTTTGCTTTTTGCGCTACTGAGCAACTTTCGTAGGAATGAAATGTCTCCGAACGTTGTATCCAGTTCTCTTTATACGTCCATGCTAAGCTTCAGCATGTTAGCATACTGATGTTAGCATTTAGCTCAAGCCACCGATGTAGAGCGTCACAGAGCTGTTAGCGTGGCTTGTTGTCTTTCTGGCTTACTTTCTCTGGAATGCTCAGCAAGAGAGAAGAGTGACAGTTAACAAAACATATGGAAGATTATTGCAAGAAAAGTACCTCGAGTCAATCTGTTCTCTGTCCCTCGGCTAAATTCACAACAGACAGCCGCTGCAAAGTGTTTCTTATTGGATGAATCGCAAAAAAATCAGGATCTTGAACCCGGGACGCGACGGAACGAGGTCCCATCAAGGCAGCTTGTCTCTTTTAAAATCACACTCTATTGTGAGAGTATACGTGGATAATTACACTCGGCAGAGTCGCTGTTGCACCTCTCTGAGACCCCCCCCCCGCTCCAAAAGACCTGAGAAGTCCCACGTTCCTACCTGAGCAATCAGACGCCTTCTTCACAGACATTGTATTTTAATCACAGCCATTCACAAACTTGCTGAAGTTTGAATTCACCTCCTCCTGAATCCTCCCTCGTACGCTATTCTTTTCATTTATTTTGCTCACTTGATTACACACTCGATGGACTCATCAATCAACAGTTTGCCAGTCAGTCACAAAGTCACTTTAGCTGCTGTGAGAAGAGTGCTTTTCAAATGACTGAAACACTTGTATATTGAACTGTCTCCTTTCCACAAACAGGCACTCACACATACACACACTCCTCACGCTAATGTTGCTAATGTTGCTAATGTTAATAGCTTGTGCTGCTTTAATTGGTTCCTAAACGCTGTAAGCAGGGTTCCCACTGTGTGGTTAATGAA